GTTCTCTCTTATTAAGTGGTCTCCGATTCTCTTTTGCTTTTGTCCATGCAAATATTGAAGGCAAATGTTGTCGATTGTTCTTTTTCCCACCTTCAAAATGCTGAGAGCAAATCCGCGTGTTGTCGCTTTCGAGTTTGAGAGTTTTGTTTCGTATCAGACGAATATACTGCTTTCTGACGACTGGATCCYTTGGAATTCTATAATACTGTAGCTGTGGTGCATTTCTAAAGTTATTTAGGCACTGAGGAACGCAGCAATTCACTGGTTTTGGCATTTTAAAACAGATAGCTTTCAGGTTCACCCGTCACGTTACTAAATTTGTTTGGTTTGTTAACTGTTCTGTCTACCCAAACGACTTGTCCAGGCCCACTCGGCCAAATTAGTACCCGGGCYACTGCTCGTTTTTGCAGCGGAGAATAGGTAGAAAAATTTGTGCCCGGAATTAAATAAACACCCCGGAGTTAAATCGACCCCTGTAAATTGATTGATATAACTTAAATGTGGATTATTCCTAGTCTGGTTCTAGCCTTCTTTCTGCTTTCTCCATGATTTCAGTATATTTTGCATGTGCAGAACAATACAATCAGATAAAGGTGCTTCAGAATTCACAATACAATTATTTTATTTTTAGAATTATTTTCCTTAGTTAGCAATTCATTTTGCAGAAGTTTAATTATTATAAGTGCACTGAAGCCATCTCCTATCGTTACCGATCATCAGCAATAATAAGAATTTTGGCTGTCAATTGTGTCTGAGTTTGGACACGACTTGGACGTGAGTTACACATGATTATGCATGACTACGTCCAACAATAATTTAGCTTAACAAAATGTATGTGTATTTGAAGATAATTTTAAAGTATTTTCTATCAATTCAGATAATCAAATGAACATGATTTCAGTTATGATGACACGTAATAAGCCGCTAATTTCTTCCACTCGATCGGACGTTCGATACAAATAAAGTAACACAATATGCATTTAAAACTTGTAGCGCAATRAAGATGTTTGCTTCTTTTCTGGAAAAATTGAATATAGCTCTCTGTGACCRGTTTATGAATTATTTGTTTGTTGCACGTGCATGTGTTGTTATGACTATTATATGTAATATGAAAATCAAAAGTTTATCTTTCTATCTCCAAGACAGATTAACATTTTCATTTTTCGACATAAAGAGAAAGATTGAAGATGCTGTCTGGGTTTATGTCTATGCTTGACAATGTAAATCGCATTAAGGATCATTTCAGCATTATTGGCTGGACAGAATGTAATATKTCAATAAATTTCTAATGAAAGGCGAATATGGAGAGGTTGTTTTTACTAAATAAATATTCTACATCACACTAAAGCTCAATTATAAATATAAAGTCTGCGTAACAACAGCAACAGTTTCCGTTAAATATTAAAACAAGCAAGTGTATTCAACATTTGTTCCTGAT